TATATATGTGTATATGTGTGTGTGTGTGTGTATATATATTCGATATCAACTTACGGCAAGAGCAGTTGGACCGACATGAGAAGTTAGATTTTGTTTAACTGGCCCTCCAGATCGAAACTCATTGCTTGGTGTGATTAGCCAAAACCCCATTTGCTGGTCGGTAGATATCCATCCATGAACTAGAATATCTTTATTTTCACAAGAATATTGGTACTTGTCATCTACCTGGGGTTCATTTGAAAATATATCATTTATATCCATAAAGATTTCTAAATTAACTTATATTCTTGAAATACCCATTAATTAAATTTTTGTATTAGTTAATATTGGTTATGTTCTTGAAATACCCATTAACTAATTTTTTGTATTAGTTAATATTGATTAAGAAGATTTTTTTGTCTTTGTAAAAAACTGATCAAAATTGAGAGATTATATACCTCTCCTTCGAACTCAGGCTCAACAGGATTAACTAGAAGGACAGCTTCTGGGTAAGCCAGTGCTTGACCTCTGCCTGGTAATCTATCTTCAGGCAAGGGCATGAATCTCTGTCTGTTGTCTGCTACAGCCATATAGTGAAAGCTTTTCACCATAAACACAAGTCAGCAGTAAATTCATATATGTTTATTTACCTAAAAATATTTAGAAATTACATATTTATAGAATAATCATAACCCACAAAATAATTTTTTGAAAGACTCTGATAATAATAATATTTTAATTTTTTTTTTTTAAAATTCATCATCATTTTTACTATATTTTTTTTCTTATTGTTAAATAAGTTTTAAAATTTTGGGAATGAAATATAAGAGAAACCTTGCTTCTCTGTTAATTTTTACTTCACTGAAAAGCATTGTGGTTGTTATAAATGGCTTATTAATTGCTAGAAAATTTTATTCAAATTAATCATTGTTTAGCCTAGAAAGAAATGGAAGAAATTGTACTTTTCTTTTCTAAGTTTGAAGGCAATTCTGGTTTCAGCAAGGTTGAAAGCAGGCCAGTCCTGCAAGTGCTCGTAAATGGCGTAGGAGTAGAAGCCGGAGGAACCACGAAGCATTATAAACCTACAAGAAAGACTTATAATCAGAAATATTAATCGAATTTTCACTTATAAAAAAGTTACGATTCGAAATTTTATTAATTATATCTATATGTATAATACGTGTATAAATGTTGCATATCAGCATTTTGTTAAAGAACCTTTTGTCTATGTTTAGTGGAACCGCTTTTCCTTCAAGGGAGGGATACCAGGTTCTTGTGAAGGAAATTTCAACTTGTTCCTCATCTTCCACAATAATCTTGAATTCTGTTCCCTTAATCCTGTATAATCAGTTCATGTTAATTCACATTTCCTACAGTAAGTAGCAATACACCCTATTTTATGCAAACAAACGTATCTATATTTGTTCATCATTCAAAGGATCTATTCCTAAAAATTTCTGTCTTTCTTGAAGTAAAATTACTCCATCCAAAATCCAAAATTTAAGCACAAATCAAGAAGGGTAAAAAAATTGTTGGTTAGAAAAACAGATCTTACACATCAAATATTCCAGTTGTTCCTGTGCTTCCTGGTGCACTCCAAACAAGGTCCCAGTATCTACATTTTCCAAATTTACTTTGATTCAACAATCTTTAAAAAAAAAAAAAAAAAAAAAGGAAATAGTAATGCAGGGTAACTAAATATTATGTTTCTTAAAATTTTCTCATAATTTTTTAAGAAAAAATTTCATTTGAATTTGATTACTATTTTCATGTTTTTAATTTAGAATTTAGCAGCATGTCGAGTCAAATATCAGGCTTATAAAACAGAAGGGAAAGATTAATAGGAGAAGAAAGATAATCAGGTCTCATAATTTTCAAACTAATTATTATATAAAAATAATGATAGCAATACCCTCTGTTAGATTCATCGTTAAGAACTTCAAGCAAGTTGTCCAGACCATTGTATTGTATTCCGGTAACGATCCCCTCCGGCTTTGATAACGTGACTTGGAGCATACCGTTGTCCATCGTCACCTACCCCACAAGAAATACTAAAATAAGTTTAAAATGAACGGAGTAAATATACATATAAATTATATATTGAATAATTACATACATGACTATCCTGAACGTAGAGTAGCACTCCAAGAGGTGCCATGTTGAGGCTCTGGTTTCCTAAACCGCAGAACTTGTATTGACGATTACTTTGTGTGTATGCATCTGCAATAAATCATGAAAATGGCATATATAAGAAGAGCCTGTTTGGCTTATTAGTTTACTTGAACTGGAGAGAAAGCATTCTCTCCTTTTTTTCTTTTTTTAATTTTTTCATTATGTATGCATATATACATACATACATATATATATATATATCAGTAGATATAATTTGCAATGTCTTTACTTGGTCGCTAATACTGTTTGGTGTCGTTAGATAAAGGTACGCAAGAGCCGCCACGTGGAGCAGCCAGTGGAAAAGGAAAATTAATTATTTTAATTTTATCATTCCTGTAAATCTCTCTGTTTTTCTTTTTCCTCGGATTTAATCTCCGCCATGAAAGGATTATTTTCAGATGCAAAACACTTTATACACTGTCTTGTATCATTGAAGGATCTTCACGACCATGTTCTCTTAAATCTCATACTGATGTCCGCATACATTTGTTTTTAATTATTTGATCATGTTTTCTATCTTAAATCTCGTACCGATGCAGCAGAACAAGTAAACGATCTTCTGCTATCGTACTTTTAAAGATTTGTTTGCAAAATCTCACCAAGAAATTTTTCTGGTTTTTTAGAATTGATTTTTATCTGCTTTACACATATTTATAATATAATTGAATAAATCTCACAAAAAATAAATTATTAAAAAAACATCTATTATGGTATTCGCCAAATCTAAAATTTGAATCAAAAATCAATATAATTCTAATTGATTTCACATGTGACAAACTAGTTTCCTATTTTGGAGGCTATAAACCATATGAATGAGCTAGAGAGTACAATTTGGACAATCACCTGGCCACAGTACTTTGAGGAGTTTCTGACGGGCGAATTGACACACCCGTGCTTTATACTCTTTATTACATCCATCTTGTATATATGTGTATATAGACCATCTATTTCTATACATACAATCGCAGATAGTTTTTATTTGAAGGATACAGCTACTACTTATATATTCAGTCTTATAAATGGCAACTAACATCCCTATAATTGACAATTAACATTTCAAATACTGGTAATTATGCATGGTAAAAGTATTTACTCTGAAGAACATGAAGCTTCCTTCGAGTACTCAGAAGCCGGGGGTTCTTCTAAACGGATATAGTCATACATAATTCCTTGAAACGGGCTGGTGCATCTTGGCTGTTTTAGGAATATGGTATTCTCTCCAACAACAAGCTGAATACCAGGTATGCTCACAGAATATAACACGTAGATCCCATGACATCCATGTCTTGCAATTGCATTGTCCCTCCCTATCAATCCTGTTGAAAATAGAGGACGGCTTGATTTGGGGTTGTTAACTCGAACCTGAAAGAGAAAAGGAAGAAACAAAAACTGTAATGCATCGAGGAACATATTGGCCTTTCCTTTCTTGTCATATACTTACAGCGAATTGATCAAATGTGAAGTTCTTTTACCTGCAATTCGGCTAGAGTAGCAGATGCAATTGCCACTCTCAATTTGTATGTTGCTCTCTTGTCTACATTGTCCAGTTTGAACTTAATTTGCCATGTAGTTCCTTGATATGTACCATCTTCTTTCTTCCTGAAATGCCAAAAATCTTTTCAATGTGAAAGACGTGCTTCAATTCGATGCTTAAGCTTTTAATTTGATCAATCATTAACCAAGGTGATGAGACTTGTTGTTAAGAATGAAAGACTAGCAATCAATTGAATATGTTCTCCTCAGTCTAAAAACCTAATGCAGTTGGTTTGGCATGAGATCAAAATGATGAATAGTATACTGCACGATGTAACCATGAATTGGTAGGGCAATAATAGCATCATATCCTCACAGAGTACTACTAATTCTCATTGCACTGTTTTTAGTATCTGAAACAATGACAATATTGATAGTAATGCATGTTTACTTTCATCAAGTGAATATTCAGTAAATTATTTTCAAACGGTGGATAATTACTTACCACTTTGGACAAACTAAACAATCCTCTGAGAAACTTTACCTGACAACCTGAGCAAAGAACCAATCTTTTCTGTAGTCACTAACACCAACTGTATAAACCAAGTCTTCATGAGGATACAATTGTGCATATCTTTTCCACAATCCATACTGCCTAAACCTGCCAGTAGAAGGAAAACACCAATATCCTCTAATGATCAAACCTCAAAATCATGAGGAAGCATTTACACAGGGCCTCAAATCAAAGTGAACGCTAGGAAAATATATAACATGAAGAAAGGCCCGCCATAGAATAAGGGTTTGTCCAAGATATTTTTCTCTCAAAATAGATTAAGACTAGGTTTCACGTTACAACCCAAAAAATTCTCCTAAGAACAAAAGATAGGTGGTTGTTACCATCCTAATATTTGGTCCTATGCAAAGTAACTCAAACGGGGAAGAGGGTTACCTGTCAGGATGATTGATGAAAAGTTTATTTACATGCATTGGATCAGGATCGGGAATATAAAACTTTGCGGCAGTACGATCAGGGAAGCCTATTTCCCATAATGTGGGCCCATCTCTTGGAGGCTCGTACACGATATCACCAATTTCAATGTTACAGCCTACATTACATGTAATTTCCATAAAGAGATCAAACTTTTGCCACCAAAAAAAGAAGTAAAATTCTCTGTCCAAGTTAAAGGAAACATACCTGAGGTAATCGTAATGATAACATTATTGCAGTAATCTCCAATAAAACCAGGGATCCATGCATAAAGGTTATAGTCACCAGTTCGTATATTTTTTATGCAGAAAAATCCATTCTCATCTGCTCTAGACCAGAATTGGTAGTTCTACAAGGGAATAATAACCGACTTATTGACTATATATAACCGAGAGAAATAAAAAAAAAAAAAAACGATTACTTCTATCTAGATTTAGGAAACAAATCTTGTTGGAAGCTTGCCAAGAGTAAGAGTAGATCTTTCTTTTCACATTTAAAATATCTTTTCTGGGTCCGCTAGATTTTGAGTACTTTCAGAGGACTGGGTGCTTGCATAGTTATCGAAAAAAAAAAAATACACTATATGAAAAATATGCAACTACCAACTTCAGCAAACAAGAGAGAAAGCTACAATAAAGTCATCATTCTCAGTCCTAACTCCCATTATTAGTGAGCCTTAAACAATACTTATTTCCATCCACCTTCCTCATATGCAATTTGATTAGATTAGACAGTTGCAATTCCATAGTAGATTTTAGTGTTTTCTTTTCAAATATACCATTGCACAAGAACATTATCGTAGCACCCTCATCAGAAAGACATTAATAAATTACTTCTATCAAGACTTTGCAGAAACAAATATCGGAAGCATCCGAAGTGTAAGTAAGCATCTGTTATAGTTTTTTCACATTTCAATTATCTTTTCTGCATCTGCTAGGTCTTGAGTACTTTCAGAGGACAGATGCTTCTACATGCAACTACTAGATTGAAAAAGAAGAGAGAAACTAAATCAAAGGCTTTGTTCCTAGTCCTGACTAACATGTCACCCTTGTCATGAAATTGTATAGAGGATTATTAGTTGGTTACTAGGTGAATAAGAGAGAATTTTGAGCAGTGATAGCAGAGGGAACAGTAAATAAGAGAGACAGAAAAAGAGAGAACAGATAACAGAGATGAAGAATTTGATGGATAATTGATTGAAATTATATTCCAGTTTTTCAGTAATCAGGACTTCTACATTATATATACTTCCTGCTTAATGATAGGAAACCTCTCTAAAATAGAAAAACAGAATTCTTAAGTAAATAAAATTTTTGCAACCAAGAAATATGGGGACATCGTTTATTAGTACCGAATTAACAGCTAACAAAAGATTATTGAGTCATAATAGAACCAAAACGTGACTCCTCACTTCACCAACAAGCCTGTGCTTGCCACATAAAAGTTACCTTGCTTTCCATTTGCCACGACCCAACATCTCCTGGGGGTGCCAATCCCACATAAGCACCCTGTCCTAATATATATTCACTGCAAATATACCTACATATAGAAGCCACAGACACTTTTATCAAATTCACCTATACCGTGCATGAAACAGAACAGGCAGATGATGATATCTAGACATCAAAGATAATTATACAGTTACTCAAAGAAAATCTCCACATTAGACTTTGACGGCAGATATTACTTTTTATTTTTACTTTAAAAAGAACATCAGGTAATATACTACTAATAAAAATGCCTTAATCCAAACAAGGACCAGAATCCCCAAATACAAATAAAATACCTGAAAAAAGAAACATTAGAAAATTTAAAAAATAACAATAAAGCGCCTGACGTGCCAATGCATCAAAATGAGCTTAAGAAAGACTAAACAAAGAAAGCCTGCCCTGAGATGATGAAGATAGCGACAGGAAAGCTAATGGTAGTAGTATCTGAAAGCAAAATTGGTGAGAAAAGGAATCTTTGCATATGAGTGTAGTTGTTAGATGGAAAACCAGATGGTAGTGAGATTGAATTATCCTTGTCTCTCTGAACACAAATTTGGAGTACCTAAGATGATTAAAGCAAGTGAAATTATACCATAGGAAACACTATTTTGTCTGAGTCCTTGCATAAATCTTGCATATCCAGGTATAAAAATTCCTCATCATGTATTTAGGTTCATTTCAGTGCTTTTAGCAAATTGCTTTCTTGTAAGTAAAAATGTTGTTTCTCCAGAAATATGTTGCATGTATCTTACATACCTATCATAAACTAGGAATCTACCACTGAGATTACCCCGCTGTTCTGACTTTTGGTAGTCCTCAGATGCTGGAAAATTGTATGGCCAGCTTTCCACTTCAATCGTCATCTGTAGATCAGTGCATATGATCATTTGTCATAGAAAATGTAATAGTCAATTATACAACCTATGTTGCACACAAAAAGTACATGCAATTTCCTTCAATAAAACCTGCATTTTTGCATCCTCCCAAAGCAGAAATGGATCATTCCTATTAGCTGCAGAATTTAGGTAAATGAAGACCGGGCCAAACACTTTCTTCCATGGTTCACCATGCTTGAAATGTGGCATCATATATTTTCCAGCATAATGAGCACTAAGAAACATCTGCCAATACCATAAGACTGGAAGTCAATGTAGTCAGAAGTTGTCACTTGCAAATGCAATTTATAAGGTTAATGGTACCAGCTTCCCAAGTATTCTTAAAATAAAATGTTCCTACATCGGTCTCTTACAGCAAGGGTGGTAGGTCCCACATGTGAGGACAGGTTCTGCTTGAGTGGTCCACCAGATCGAAATTCATCACTGGGTGTAATCTGCCAGAACCCTATCGGCGGGTCAAAGCATATCCATCCATGTACCCGGAGATCTTTGTTCTCACAAGAATATTGGTATTTATCATCCACCTGGAAATCCAGAAACCATAAAAGAAAATGACTTCTTGCATACTCAATTCCTTGTATATAGAAGAGAAAGAATCTGCTCTCCACTTAATTAATTCAAGAAAGTATGACTAAAGGGCACAAGCAGACTTTGTTTAAGATGAACTCTGACCAAAATAAGAAGGGTATTCTTGTCCATGGAACAAATGAATTAATGTAGCTTGATATAAGTTAGAGTAGAGAAGTTCTAGTGCTTGTTTGACCTGGTGCAATGGAGTCAATATGCGCAAGGATAAAAGTTGGAAGAAAGGAGTCTTATTAATGACACTGGAGGACAGTTCCTTATAAAAATAAGAGACAGGAATAAATAAAGAAGAGATACCTCTCCCTGGAGCTGTGGATCAGTTGGATGTACAAGTAGGGCAGCTTCTGGATAGTCCAGTGTCTGGCATCTTTCCTTTGAAAGGTCATCCGGAAGAGGCATGTATCTTTGCCTATTATCTGCTATAGCCATGTAGCGAAATCTACATTTCAAAGACACTTAATCACTTAAATGTTTAACGATTGGAAGAAAATTTCTCAAATGTATCTTTGGTGATATCAGACTTTCTTGCTTTTTTTCCTGGCCCTTGTAGAGCTTGAAACAGGGAATATCCCCTGAAGACAATCCCATGAGGGGTACAACTGAGAAGCTACTATGCTCGAGCTAGAGACTTTCTTGCTTTCAGATAACAACGAGAACCGGACCCCAACTTCATTTTTGTCTTTGATTATCATCATGAACATAAAATTGATAATAAAAGTGATGTTAACAAGAAAGAAAAAATAAAGTTACACTTTCACCTCAAAATTAACTATGATCTCATTGATCCATGGATGTAAATATGTTCTGAAAATCGAGAAATTATCAGTATAAACCTTCAGCCATCATACAATTTTTTGTATATGATTGTGTCAATAAAAGGGGCAACTTTTTTATCACTTGAAACCTGCATAAACTTATGCAGTTGCAATTGGTGTTTAAACAGGGTTGACACATTTCAAGCCACTGCATACTCATTTTCATTCTCTCAAAAAAACTAATACTCATTTTTGCTGATTTTGTCCAATACAGATTTGCAGTTTTAAAAGTTTCTTATGCAATTGGATTAGTGACCAACCAAAAAAAGTATTAAACCATCAGTTAACAAGTCATTTTTCAATCAGTGATTTCTACTAATTGCGATACTGACAATTAATCTGTCGAAGATGTTTACTTGTCTTTTCTGAGTTTGAAAGCAATCCTTGTTTCTCCAATTTCAAACCCAGGCCACTCCTCCAGGTGCTCATAAATGGCATAAGAGTAGAAGCCTGAAGAACCCCGAAGCATTATAAATCTGCAAGAAATATAATAAAAATAACTTTTGTCACCAGTATGATAGTTAAATTTGTGTTCTAAAGTACACATCTTGGAGTCGAAGCGAGAACCTCTTATCTATGCTCAAGGGAACAAACTTTCCCTCAAGGGAGGGATCCCACATTCTTGAGAAGGAAAGCTCGACTTGTTCTTCATTTTCAATTATAACCCTAAAACTTGTTCCATGAATCCTGCAAGCCAACAGTTCTTGCTTCACATATTGGCATTTGTGCAATAACTCCATTACTTGCTACATACTCATTTTCCTATTAGCAAAGAGGATACATGATGATATCTACCATTAATCTTGTGTAATTGTTGAGAAAACTTGTTATTCAGAAATTTAGGGAAACTAAAAGAGAAACTGGAGACTTGAGCATATAAACGAAAAATTATTATTGAGGAACTGACACAAGGTAAAAAGTAGCCAAGAAAGTGTTGTACAAAGCATCACATATTTAAAAAAGATATTAAAGGTAAAAAATAATGCGAAAAAATTCTATTCTGAATCTTTAGTACGCTTTTATTTTAAAGTATAAGAAGAATATCTCAAAACTGAAATACGTGCAGCAATTACTGAAAATCTTCAAGAATATGAATTTTGGACATTTTATATGATCTCACCTTCATCAAAAGAAATGCAGGATCTGTGATTCAAGATCCATTTTGGACATTCCCTCTTTCTAAAAGGAAAGGGAAATAAATTAAAAACACTGACACAACCGCGATATATATATCAAGCGATATGTTCTTAAACATCCCTAAAGCCGCATAAGAAGAAATTTTCCATTTTGAGACCACTATCAGTGTAAAATTTTATCATTGCTCACTAGTCAAGAAACAGATAAGGAACATGCATACACATCAAATATTCCTTTGCCTCCTGGTTCATTCCAGTGAAGGTCCCAGTACCTAGATAATCAATTTGAAAAAGTAGTGTCAGTTTCCTGCTGGAATGACAGGATTTTTTTTTAAAGTCTCAGCATGAATTGGTTAAAACAACAACATTATGATCATTTTTTCAATCAATAACAGCATGGTAGGCACGGTGCTAAAAATAACAAGAACAAAGTTAAAACAGCCGATACTACATACCCTCTATTAGTTTCCTTGTTACGAACTTCCAGTAAATTGTCGATCCCACCGTACCTGATTCCAGTTACAATACCTCCTGGTCTTGATAATGTTACTTGAAGTATGCCATTGTCCATCACCACCTGCACATACTTTGAAATTAAATATGATCTGAATACACCAAAAAATTCATTCCACAATCCTTCTACAATATCCCATTCAAGAAACACAAAAGTGGGTTGAATAAGTATGTCATACATAACGATCATGAATATGCAATCGAACTCCTTGAAATGCCATCTTGTGGCAATTGTTATTTTTTGGAGCGTGTTGTCCACAATGAATATCTTGATCTGCCTTCTTTATGCCTGAGAAAAAATTGTGAAGAGCATTACCATGCCAATGGTATTATTAAAAAATCATAAAAGAGAGACCAAAAAAATAAATTAAATCCTAACTCTTGTATGGACTTCTTGAACTTCAGTTTTTTGGCGAAAAACTCTCTTAATTGGGTTTTAGCCAAAGCAATCATTATTAAAGTCGTGATTTATTAACCGCAAATTTCATAAAATATTTTCCTCCAAAAAAGAACATTTCACCCAAAAAACATAATCTAATTTTACTAAAGTATTAAATGCAAATCCCCCCTGAACAAGTTATTTACAAAACCAAACTAATTTAGGCTCAATCAGCTTTAATCAGTCTATTTCACAACAATGAACTTGCCCCCGCAAAAAAAAAAAAAAAAAAAGAGAGGAAAAACCTGCTGTTTGTGTCGTGTCAAAGGAAGCTATCAGAAATTGGAGAATCAAATAAAGATTTGCTTGTTCTGATCGTTAATCTAATCAATTAAATTGTAATTAAGCATAGAATCAAGCAATAAAATTGTGAGAAATGATACCTTGTTTCCTCGCAGTTCTATTGCCATCGCTGTTACTAAAACAATCAATGATTCTCCGCAATGACCTCCTCATTGGCTTACCAATTGATCCCCATCGTCTGTGTGAATTTTTATTATAAAATAATGGGAGACGAAGAGAGAGATGGTGGTGTTAACTGTTAACGGCAGTTATAAATTGTCGGTGACTCGGTGTGGGTGGTGATTTTGGACTCGAAGATGCGGCAAGGCTAAACTGTTTTGGAAGAAGTGTAAATTTATTTCTCTAAAATTTTTTTTAGGAAAAAGAAAAAACAAGGCTCGCACATCCTACTGTTTCTTTTTTATTTTGAATTATTATTTTTTTTTAAAAAAAAATGTTAATTTTGCCATGGGCAGTTTTAATTAATATAATCTGTAATATTTTTCTTCGGCTACAAAGTAAATATGTTAATTTTGAAATAGTTAAAAAGACAAATTTTAAAATTGTATGTATTAATAATGTTTACTATAAGAAGAAAGTTTTTCTTTTTCTTTTTCTTTTTGCTTTTTCAATTAATAGACATATATTTATACATTTATCTATAAAAATATGTAAAAATAATAATTTTTAAAATAATTAAATATAAGAAATTTAAAAAATACAAAAATAATATTTAAAATTTTTATTTCATTATCAATTTTTACTACCATGTTATTATTAATTGATTTATCTAATTTTACAAATGAAATATACGTTTATTTAAAATATAAAAATATTTTTATGTATTAAATAAATAAAAAAATTAAATACATATTAGATAGCAATTACGACAACAAACGGAACAAAAAGAAAATTAAAAAATAACGTAGAAAATTTATGCAAGTTTATTTGCAAATTCGCATTTATTTTAATTACTAAGTAATGACACTCTTATATAAATTATAATAATCGAACACACATGAATTAAATAACGCATTCAAAATTTTATTAAATTTAATAAAATTTAAAATATATCCATCCAATTACTGATTAAATTTAAAATAAATTCAATTTTTGTTATCTTGGATGTGAATTGATAAAAAGAGTTTGTAATATTTTTAGATTTATTTTTAACATAATCAAAATAAAAATGAGAATTAAAAATTAACTATGAACTAAATAGATTAAATGGGAATTGAACCTCGAGGTAAAGATAATTAAAAATTTATAGGTGAGAATTAAGTATTAAAAAAGATAGGAATTGCACAGCCTGTCTAGGTATTACCACAATCCAATGAGCTCCGTACAGTAACATTATCAGCACAATGATCTTATAAATTTCAATATAGATAAAAGGAATATATAGTTCTAATGCTGATTTACACATGCCAAATGTGCGTCCTGTACCCTACGAATGCACTTGGCTACTCTCTGTCTTCCTTTGAAAAAGAAGTGATCCTAATAGAACCGCGATGCCTGTTATCGCAATGGTAAACAGAAGCCGTCTCTGTGAAAAATTGCGAGGCTGTCTTCTCTGAGCATCATGTGGCAGTCTTCTCTGAGTATGGTGTTCTGTTCCAACGACTCCGACATCCCTTCATAGGCAAATTCTAGATGAGTTACATCCATCACAAATATGAAATGCAAAGGATATCTTTTGCAGGAAAATTGAAGAATAGTATACTGCATTTGCTTCATCGCCCATTAAATTCTTAATTATTTTTTTTAGTTTTACAGTTTATTTAATATTCACATATACTATTAAACATAATCTATCATGTTTGAGTTACCACATTTATGCTTTAACTTTCTTGATAGTGGAACATGAGTTTCAATGTAGTAGATGAATTTCCATCATCAAAGAATTCAACGTGGGGTAATATTGAATCAAATACAACAAATTATATTCTATTCTAAATATATGGACTAATATAAAAATTAAAATTAGAAATTGAATAAGAAATGAACCAAACTCCAACCTTAAAGCTTTGATCAATTCTATAGTTTCAATAGGTTCCAAGCTAACCAGAACGTCCTCCAAGAATAGAAACTTCAAAAATTTTATTGGCAGAAACACAAACATAATTCAGGAGCTATCTCGGAATGTAATGCAGTATACATGAGCACTCTGGGATATTCTCTAGTACCAGTTATCTAACTAGAAACTAACAGTGGAAGGTTATACAACTAAACCAGAAAAAAAAAAAAAAAAAGAATGTGTAAAAAATGTATAATGTCCAGTTGATGGGACCAGGAATTTAAGGAACAATCATATCACAATTATTGAATATTACTGCAGATATACAATCATATAACAAGAATTTTAGATACTAGAAAAAGGATAAACAGTATGACATGACTATGTCATGCACACAATGAGAACAGATTGGTTATATGTTATCAAACCACATGCCTAAGATTTCATGTTATCAAAGCACTCTGGTATATTCTCTAGTACCAAGTATCTAACTAGAAACTAACAGTGGAAGGTTATACAACTAAACCAGGAAAAAAAAAAGAACGCCTAAAAAATGTATAATGTCCAGTTGAAGGGACCAGGAATTTAAGGAAAATCATATCACAATTATTGAATATCACTGCAGATATACAATCATATCACAAGAATTTTAGATGCTAGAAAAAGGATAAAACAGTATGACATGACTATGTCATGCACACAATGAGAACAGATTGGTTATATGTTATCAAACCACATGCCTAAGATTTCATGTCCGTTGCAGACATATCCATCTCAAGATGATAATGCCAATTCCAAAAGATAACCACAGTAAAAACATCTGTCCATTGCACAATAAAATGCAATAGCATGCAATATCAAAACCGAAACCTATCCAGGTTTTTAAAAATTGTTTCAAAGCATCAGTATTAAAATTGAAAAGAAAAAGACATACCTTTCTGTTACAGTCATTTTTTATATAATTTTCAACAGCTTATCAACCCAAATTATCATTAAGAAATAAATACTAAGCACAAAAATGCCAATGCCAAACAACCATTATACCAAAGAATAGCAAGGACAACTTGCAATCATAAGCTATGGCTATTGACTTCAATTTTAAATTTATAAGCATTTTCAATATAGCTCCCACAAAATGATAAACTTAAATCTACACATTACCATAGTGGTACATAAAGTCCAGACCACAAGCACGGAAATGACATGTATACCAAACAACATGAAACTATCCACAGTATGTTCAAGTAGTAAGGAAGTACATGTAAAAATTATTGAAAGATAACAACAGAAAGATGTTAACATTTCTACCTGGAAGAATCCCCACTGTTCTCTGGAATACCAGTGCACCTATTTTCATGGTTATATCTTTCTCGCAGTCTTATATATCTATTACACAGATGACAAAGTTCTGTCCTGTTCCCACAGACTTCCTAAAACCAGAAAGCAAGATAGAGATTTTTTTTTAATTAGAGAAAACAACAGAGAATTAGAAACCTATTGTGGCCAAGGTACAACAATGCATGCCACTGACAACAATTACCTGATGCTCAGCCAGATCAATAGCAGGCAATGGGAATTCACAGAACTCACATGTCACAATCCTTTGGGGGCAATTTTCACCTCTATGGATTGCTAAAACTTCCCGTTCCATGGTCTCACTACACAGTGAACAAGATACCTGCTCAAATACAATATAAATTAGTTACAGATCAACCACATTTACGCACTTAAAGTTCTCAAGTCAAAGCTAAATCCAGAACTCTTGTCCGTACAAACTTGTTTAGTTATACCAAACCATTTTTAATAACCACTAAAAAGCTATTCTGAGTTTTCTCTTTCCTTCAGCAAAAACTTAAGAAACAGCAAAGCAAGTCCATAATATGCAATCATTAATGCAATTCAACTAAATGATAATTCTTATTTTTACCTAACTGAGTTTGAGAAAATGAAATAATTTCCACATAAAAGCAGACTACAACATGCTCTCTGCCAAATCCCTAACTCTTGCCTTTCAGTCAGCAATAGATGTACTGATATAGCATATGACAATCACATAAGGACGAAAATAGTCATGATTTTGAGTTTGAGCTAAAGAAAAAGAAAAAGTACAGTTTTGAGTTTGACAATCACAAATAATTTCATATATATGCCTGTAGGTAAAAGCCCAACAGAACTCTAAAAGAGTTTGCTGTTTGTTGTGAATCAGTGCAATGAACTCAACAAAAGGAGATGTTCATCCATTAGGATTATCCCCTGGTACATGTCTCATTTTTTAGTATTATAAACTAAATAGCATAACAGATGCAAAAGACAGAACCTACTTTATCTGTTTTTCATCCTTGCAAACACCAAAATGAGTATGCACAGGACCCTCTATCACTACACTAGGCCACTCCATTCTGCAAACCCATCCAATGATTTGTCACAAACACATGCCAAGTTAGGGCACCACTATGTCTTTTGCAGAGATCCACTTAATTTTTCTTTTTAATATACATCTGAACTTAATACATGTCCACCTTTTATTACCAGAGCTAAAGCACCAGCCATACAGAATAATTCCTTCAGGCTCATTAATTAACCAAATGCTTATAACAAAACTATTTTTTCACTACAGAAAAAAGAAGAAAGAGAGGATATTATAAACAAGACAAAAGAGATGCTCGCATCTAAAAGTGCAAAAAAGAACTAATTTATTTGAACAGAACAAGACAAGAAAATCACATACCGGAGCATGGATGTTTAGGAAATGTTCCTCAGCATGTCTTTTGGGAACCATTTCCCCACATATTTTACATTTTTCTAGATTACGCGAGCAATGTGCATAATGCAAATCAATATTTGAAGAAGGGATAGCTCTGTCACTGTTGAAATTAGAAAAAATAAAAACTCATAAATTCCGCTTGAATTGGGTCACATAAATAATGTCCAAGAAAAATCTAATCATGACACACTAGGTAATGTAATAATAAGCCTTCACAAAATTGAATTGTTAATACTAGTCTCACTAAGCATTTGGGATTAAGAATGAGCTTTAGACTACAGTAATCATGTAAGAATGGCTGAAGGAAATCTAATTGTAAAACTTTAAATAAGGGGCAAGGAGGCTTTGGAGCAAGACCCGAAAATAAACTCAACATATTCACACTTCATTCTAATACAGTAGTACAATCCTCAAAAAAACAGAAAGAAAGAAAATGATTCGGTATATCAAGCATTAAACGAAGAGCTTAGTACATGGAACTCCATCATAAATTTGAACCACCTGTTAGGCATATTGCTCCTTGAGCAAGCACATAAGCAAAGAACTTCATCTGTCACTTACACTTAACATAATCAAACTGAACCAAGTTCAATTAACCTCATAATTTTTTTTAAAAGGAAGCCATGGTTGAAATTTATACACCTTTGATTTTGGAAAGCACACTTTTGTACCCAATGTTAGGTTCCAGCCAGAGCTTAAGAACGGGTAAGGGTTTTTCTGCTTTTGATGAGAATAATACCAGGAGGATTTGAGTAATTTTTTGAGCTGCTTTATTAATGAATGGTGCTGCCTTTAAATAGGCAGAATTTACAACTTAAGATAAGAACTAAAGATTGAAGCAAATCAACAAAATCAAAGAAATACTGGAAATCTGAAAGTGGAGAGCAGCTTGGCCGAGATTCTAGGCAACCGTTTCTGTTGGAGTTCGTTGCCAGCACGTGCAAAATGTGCTGAAGTGAAACACGTGCAAAATGTGCTGAAGTGAAACACGTGCAAAAGGTGCAAAAGGGTCGGTCCTTGATCTGCGGTTAACCCATGTATCGTGGGTTTGGTTTGGGGATCCTCTGCGATCTCCGGTTCTTATCATCATCGCCCCTTTTTTTAGCAACCTTGTCCTCAAGGTTAGGAAATTGGTTAGTCATGTGCTCAATTATCTCCCATGTTGCTTCTTCAGCTAGTAGATGCTTCCACTTGACAAAGCACTCTTCAATGATTCGGCCCCCCCTTTCATCCAACAAGTATCAAGTATGGCTTCGGGTTGAAGGATGATGTTGCCTTCTTCTGTAGTGGCTGGCAGCTCTTTGATGGGAAAAGTGGAATCACCAATCTTCTTTTTAAGTAGGGAGATGTGGAAGATAGGATGGATGCGTGATCCAGTGGGCAGTTTGAGTTTATATGCTACTGGGCTTATCTTTTGTTCAATCATATAAGGTCCATTGAAGCGGTAGGCTAGTTTCTAGAGGGCCCGTTGGAATAATGTTTGTTGGCAGTAGGATTGTAGTTTGAGGAAGACCCAATTTCCTTCTTGGAACTCAATATGTCGTATTTTTGTGTTGGCGGTTTACTGCATGCGATGGTTGGCCACTTGTAGGTTCTCTTTAAGTTGTGCTAGTAGTTCATTTCTATTTGTCAGTTGTTGGTCAACCTCATTTACTGCTGTCATACCTTGTTGGTAGTATGGAATGCTAGGCGGGCGTCGTCCATACAAAGCCTTAAACGGGATCATCCCAATAGAGAGGTGATAAATAGTATTGTACCAGAATTCTGCCCATGGAAATATAGAATATCACTTATTCGGCCGTTGGTAAGCTAGACATCGCAGATATTGTTCGACAAATCTATTGATGATCTCAAATTATTCGTCTGTTTGGGGATGGTATGTCGGGCTCATTTTTAACCGTGTCCTTGACATCTTAAAGAATTCACTCCAGAAGTTGCTTATAAAGACGGGATCTCTATCATTGACTATGGATCGTGGCATACCATGTAACTTGACCACCCCCTCGACAAATCTCTCAGCTACTGTTTTTGCTGTAAAGTAAACAGATGTGCTAAGACCAAGAAGTGGGCATACTTACCTGAGCGGTCGACGGCTATTAGTATTGTGTTTCTGCCGTTGGAGGATGGTAATCCCTCGATGAAGTCCATGGTTATGTCATCCCATACCTCACAAAAAATAGGGAGGGGTTGTAACAAAGTAGCTGGAGACAGGGTTTCTGACTTAACTCTTTGACATGTTTCATAAGTTGATACGTACTCATAGACTGTTTTTCTTATTGAGGGTTAGTAGAATTGTTGTGCAAGTCTTTTGTAGGTTCGTAGTACCCCAGAATGGCCTCCCAGGGGGAAGTCGTGGTAAGCTTGTAAGAGTTGTTGAACTAAGTTGGACTTGGGAGGAATAACCACTAAGTGCTTGTAATAGATCAATCAATTCTTCAAGGTGTACGGCTGTCTCGGTTGTTTGTTGGCGAGGGCACTTATTTCCTGCATATAGGGGTGTTTCTGCATTTCTTGCTTAATATCATCCCATAACTGAGTCTATGGGTCCAGTGACCTGACAGGATAGAGCATCTGCAACGGCATTCTCTTTTCCGAGTCTGTAAGTGTCCTCATAATCATACCCAAACAACTTGGAAACTCATTTTTGTTGTTCTGGTGTAGTGATGTATTGCTCTAGTACATGCTTGAGGTTGTGTTGATCTATTTGGATGAAGAACTTTTGGCCCATAAGGTAGGGTCGCCAAGTCTTGATGGCGATCACAACTGCTAGCATTTCTTTTGCATAAATTGACCATGACTGTTTGGATACTCCCAAGACTCGACTGAGGTAGGCTACTAGTTTGCCTTGCTGAGTGAGAACTATGCCTATTCCATCTCCTAAGGCGTCCGACTCGATTGTGAATGGTTCATTAAAGTTAAGAAGAGCTAGAGTTTGTGTGGAGGTCATTGCTTGCTTTAACTTAGTGAAAGCTTCATTGGCAGTGGTGCTCCATTCAAACTTCCCCTTTTTAAGTAGTTGAGCCAAGGGTTGGGGTTGGGCTATCACCCCATAATTCTGTACAAACTTTCTGTAATAGCCAGTCAGTTCTACGAACCCTCTTAGTTTTATAACGGTGCTGGACTTGGGCAAATTTGTCATTGCCTGAATTTTATTTTAATCCATCTTAAGTCCTTGGGGGTGTGATAATATGACCGAGGTATTCTAATTTTTGTTGCCCAATTACACATTTTTTGCATTTGATAAAGAACCTGTGCTGCTTTAATATTTCAAACACTTGTCGAATATGGGTTAGGTGAGAGTGCCAATCTGGACTGTAAACTAATATGTCATCAAAAAACACTAGTACAAACTTAAGTAGATAAGGACGGAAAATTGAGTTCATAACAGCTCGGAATGTAAAAGGTGTATTGTATGGACTAAAAGGTATTACCAGATATTCATGATGGTTGTTATGTGTCCGAAAGACTGTTTCGTGGACACCTGGAGGATGTACCCAGATCTAGCGGCACCCTGCGGTCAAGTCTAGTTTGGTGAAATAAGTTGCCCTATATAACTCGTCCAACATGTCATCTACAGTGGGAATGGGAAAACGGTACTTGATGGTGACTACATTGAGGGCTCGGTAGTCGGTACAAAAGCACCAGGTGCCATCCTACTTTCTGACTAGTAACACTGGTGATGAGAAAGGGCTAGTGCTCGACCGAATGAGACCAAAATTGAGCATCTCCGTCACCTGTTTTTCAATCTTAGCTTTTTGGAAGTATGCATACCTGTAGGGACGGACATTTACCAGCTCGGTCCCTTCCTTGAGGCAAATTTGGTGGTCGACATCTCGGGTGGGCAGCAACTAATCCAGAATGTGGAAGAGCTCTGAGAATTCTAATAGAAGCTGTTGCATTTCCGGCTGCTGTGAGGTGGTGCCTTCCCGATTTCTGGCAACAAGCAGACAGCATAGAGTGAGTGTTTGCTTGCGGCCTCCCAATCCAGTTCTCCTGGTTTAGCTGCTTGGATAGGTGGCGCATCTAGGCCGCGTAGTTGCCGTCTTTGGTTGAGCCATCAGAAGTCTATGGTGAAGTGTTTCCAATCACAGATTACGGCACCGAGTGACTCCAACCACTGCACTCCTAGAACCACGTCGAGACCCATGAATGGTAAGGAAAAAAGAGTGAGGGAGAAGGAGATACCTTGGATCTGCAGAGGCACATTATCGAACCGCCTTTGGCATTTCATCGAACTCCCGTTTGCCACTTTTACAGAGAACGGATCAATGGGTACCAGGGGAAGCCGAAGTCAACTGGCTAACTTTTTATTGATGAAGTTATGTGTGGACCCACTATCGATGAGGACGATAGCTTTTTGCTGAAGAATTGTGATCGTGACTCTCATGATTCGCACGACAGTCCACCCAGTGAGAGCATGCAGCAAAATTTCAGGTTTGTTGGGTTTGAGTCCTTCATCTTCGATCTATCTGCCATCAAGCAAGAAGAGTTGCGGGTTGCGGCACCGGTGACCTGCTGTGAAGTTCATTGCAGTTGAAACACAGCCTTTGGGCTCGCTGGCATTGCATTTCTTCCCAGGAGAGGCGCTTCGGGGCGGCTAAAGTTGGAGCTAGGGCACGCAAGGCTTGATTGGGTAGGGACGAGACAGGTTGGACGATTTGGGTCTGCCCCAATCGGGTCAGCCTATTTTGCCAACCCACTTGCTCTTCTCGTACGCAGGACAACCCGATGGCATCTTTCAACGTTCTGGGCTGGAACATGTGGATCCTGTTTGCTATTTCGAGCATGAGCTGTCCCATGAAGACCCCTACTAAGGCCCGTTGAGTCCACTCGTGAACTCTGTTGCCCAGACGCTCGAATTCACTCTAGTAGTCGCGCAATTCTAATGCGGGCTAGGGCCTCATCCGGGTCTTCAAAATCTATTGGCCCAAATCGGGCCCACAACTCCTCCACGAACCCGGTCCAGGAAACCTCCCTTCCTTCAACTCTGTAGGTGCGATTCACCCACTACCACCACTGATTTCCCTCTCCCTCCAAGTGGTAGGATGCCAGAGCTACTCGATATGGTGCGGCAATCCCTTGGAAGTCGAAGTACTGGCTAACTCAACTTAACCATTCGATCAGGTCTCCTCCCACAAAAGTAGGAAAATCCAATGTGCTTAATTTGGGAAAAAAAGGTGCACGGCCGACGTCGTCAATGGTGGCCTCCTCGTACGCAGGGCATGGCAGGTTAACGCGTGGTGCTCGGGTGCTACCGATGCTTTCCTGTATGGAAACAATGGCTTTCGTCAACCGCTGGAGAGTCTCCTCGATCGTATGGAGCTTGTTGGTCGTGCTGAGCTCCATTCTGCTAACCTGATCTTACAGAGCGCCGAGACCGGTTTCCAGATTCTCGATGCGTTCTTTGTTGGACGCCATTTCGACTGAGTTCTGATACCAATGTTATGTCCCACTCAAAGCTTAAGAACGGATAAGGGTTCTTTTGCTTTTGGAGAGAAAAATACTAGAAGGTTTTGAGTAATTTTTTGAGCCGCCTTATTGATCAATGGTGCTGCCTTTAAATAGGTAGAATTTACAAGATAAGAACTAAAGATTGAAGCAAATCAACAAAATCAAAGAAATACTAGAATATGAAAGTGGAGAGCAGCTTGGCTGAGATTCTGGGCGACCGCTTCTGTTGGAGTTCGTGATGGCATGTGCAAAATGTGTTGAAGTGAAACACGTGCAAAAGGTGCAAAAGTGCCGGTCCTTGATCTGCGGTTATCCCATGTATCATGGGTTTGGTTTGGGGATCCTCTGTGATCTCTGGTTCTTATCACTCAGCATGTGCCAACATTCCCCTCTGTCATTAATAAACATTAGGTTACGCCACTAGCGCTAGTAAAAGTATTTGCTTTACAATTGTGGAGCTAGAACAGGGATTCACAAATGTTGGTTAATGAAATTTTGTTCATCGAGTACACTTCCAATATTTTAGTTTGGAACTTATTTTCAATTTCAAAATCCAATAGTCTTAAGGCAAGGTGCAATTTTAATGTAAAAACCCACAACAACAAATTATCATCTCACTTCATATATAGATTTACCATTAACGCGATCAGCACAATGCATAACCTCACGCAAACCAACTAAAAACCAAGCCCATAATGTATAAACATAATGAGTCTCCGCAAGGACACTGCAGAACATAATCTACGAAACTTCAGCCCCATCTCCGGAAGAAAATAATAATAGCAATAAATAATAATAGAAATTTATCTTTTCCACTTCAATTTAGTACTTTCTTTTTGGTATATCAACATACACAAATTAACCATATCCTAATAAGTTGAACATTCAGAAATTTAAACAAGTAAATGTTTACATTAATAATAAAGCTAGCAATTAGGGAAGTTATGAAATAAAAGAATTCAGCTCAATATAATCTAGAGTCCAAGTAAAGTCATAGTTAGATTTTAGGTGAGCAAGCTCAAAAAGAAAATCAGATGAGAACTGCAACAGGTCAGTATGCGAGATCAAGGGGAAAACACGACTTAACGGATCATTGTGCAGATTTTTTGGCAAATTAAATGGTATAACAATCAGAAATCAGTTCGATTGCAGCAGATTGGTATAAATACCAGTGGCTGCATATTCTCATGGTATCATCGGTAGCAACTGCCATAGCGACAAGAGAGAAGATCGAAACGACCTCGTTCTTCGACCAAAATCTTCGAGACAATGAAACTGAAACAAGTAATTAGCAGAAAAAAGATCATCACAAAAACACATATAGAGAGTTAACGATCAACACAACGAAAATGAACCTGTAAAAGCGGAAGGAGAAAATCGGCTTCAGATTTTTGGAGATCTGTTTTTCCTTCTTTAAGTTTTGTTTGCCCCGATAAATTTCAGCGAATTTTTTTAAAAAATAAAACTAAGAGAGAGAGAGAGAGAGAGAAAAAGGAGAACACTGTCGAGGAGATTTATTGATTTACTTATTTACTTGGGGAAAACAAACTTTATGTGGAATGACTTTTAGGTCCCCGATCATCAGTCCACAATCCACAGGCATCAAGTAACCTGCCCTTTTCACGCGCTTTTTAAAACTGTGCGCTCCCACGCGTGCTCTGAGAGGATGTCTCTATGTATTGTCTGGGCTAAATGAAGAATGGGGATCTTGTTGGTTGGAAATTATTTTGGGGCCCAAAATTAAAGTATGTGGACCGCGGCCCACGTCATGAACTTGTTTCAAGCTGAGACAAAAACAAATAAATAAATAAATAAGTACATTTCTTTTTCTTGTAAAATTTTGGTCTCTTCTTATGTCCAAATTGAAAGTCACACCAAAAGTATTAAACTAGACAAAGTATCTAGTTGTTTTGGTTTATTTTTTTAAATGAATTATGAATATCTCGAATCAATGGATAAATTTTTTACACATAGGTTATGAATTGTAAATCTATAGAAAATTATAAGTTAATAAAAATAATTTTTTTTAAAATATAGGACTGAGTTTATATATAGTGACTTCATCTACCTAATGATATAACTTATGAATTAAAATTGATGCAAATTATAAAAAGTACATATGCAAAATGGACTAATTTTTATTAACACTTTGGATTTATCTTACAATAACATCGCTATCTGAAAATTAAATTGACTGTAACAACCATCAAAATTAACTGCTAAAATTAAAGGGGTTTAAAAATAGTTAAAATTACCTCTTCGTATTTGTTCTCTTCCCTAATCTGCCTTCGTTATTAAATTTTAAGTATTAGATAATTAAAAATATCATCAACTTAAAATCGATCAGACAGTGCTTCCTGTTAATTAATAGTTTAATTTGTTTATTTAATTAGTACCCAGTGCATGTTGCATGTAATTCTTGACCGTTGA